TCAGAAAGAGAATAACCCCTGGGTCCGACCGCTGCCACGGGGCCTGCATGAAGGGCCGGGCTCCCCTCAGAGCCGCTCCACCCGGTCTGCGTCGGGGCCTTTGCACCCGCTCCCCCGGGGGCCTGGGAAGGAGGCAGCTTGAGCACTGGCTCACCTGTCACACCTGTGCCTACTGTGCACCCGGCACCAAGCCCTGGGGTATGACTGAGAGCGAGACAAACACAGGCTGTGGCTGAGGGTGCAGACAGGCGGGATGGGGTGGCCACGCACCGGCCGCCCTCATGGGAAACAAAGGACAGACACACAATCTCAGGTGTGATCTGGGATGGCCTCTTTGAGGAAATGACGTTTAAGGTCACGTGAGAAGCGGGAAGGACGTGGCTGTGGCAGGAACGCAGTGAAGAAAGAAACAATCAGACAAACCCAAACCGGGACCTTCCGCCCATATCCTCCCAAATGTTGATGCCATGAAAAACAAAGCTGAGAAACTGCTGCAGATCGAAGAAAAAGAAACAGGACAACGAAGTGCAACTTGAGCTCCTGGACTGGGGTGGGAAAGTGCTACAGAGACCATTACTGAGAAAATTGGGAAAATTTTAATATGGGCTTCATATCAGATTAAGATAATATATTAATTCTAAATTTCCTGAATTTGATCACTGAACCTGGTTGTGCGAGACGGTATCTCTGGTCTCAGGACAGACACCCTGAAGTACTTGGGATAAAGGGTCACAGTGTCCGCAACTTACTCTCAAACAGGAGAACAAAGATTAATAATAGTAATAGACTTTTTAAAAGACTTTCTTATTAAGTAGGCTCCACACCCAACCTGGAGCTTGGATTCACGACCCTGAGAGCAAAAGCAGCATGAGCTACAGACGTCCCAGTAAAAAGAAAGGGCATTCCAGGCGGAGAGAAGTGTGCAAAGGTCCTGAGGTAACACAGAGCTTGGCTTGCTTAGGCTAGTCAGCCAGATGACCCAAGGACCCGAGCCAGGGAGACAAGGTACCGCATAAGGAGTTATTGTGTATCTGGATGGAGCAGCTGACTTAGGGAGACACCTAGGAGACCCTGCCCTGGGCCAGGCCTCCAGCCAGGGCAATAGAGTACAGATGCCGAGAAGGATTTTGGAGTCTGTGCTCACGGGACAGGATGTGTGCCGGTTTGG